AAGGAAGGAAGGAAGGAAGGAAGGAAGAAAGAAAGAAAGAAAGAAAGAAAGAAAGAAAGAAAGAAAGAAAGAAAGAAAGAAAGAAAGAAAGAGAAAGACCCCATCTCAAGAAAAAAAAATCAAGAGGAAATACCAAAATATCTTTAAGGTAAAAATAATCCAATTAAAAGATGTGGGTTTTCTTGTCATATTTAGTCAACTACTCCAGTGCTTTGCACACACTGGGCAGTGGATAAATTGCACAATCCCCAACGTCATATCAACCAATTTCATATGTCCTTTGGCAAGAGTTTGTGTTTTCCTTCTTCCTCTTTTCCCACAGCTAGCATCCCCTCCAGCCTCCCAGGCACAGTCCAGTCTTCCCACCTCCACTAGCTCTCTCTCGTGCATGCTCTGCAACCATAGACTCTTGTTCACTAACTCAAGTGCAACGCCATTGGTCTACTCCTGACTGTAGGGACTCCTATCCTTTCTCTTGGCTTTCCTCATCTGCAGCAAGTCCCATTTATTCTTCTCTGCCATTTTATTTCCTGCTGCCCCTCAACATGGACCTCTGAACTTCTCTTTCCCCAACACATGAAGCCAGATCTTTGTGCATTCTGTCCTACCTTCTCAACTCGGCAGCAGTGGAGCATGAGATGCAGAGAAGGCTCTGTCTTCTCCACAAATCATCTTTGGCTCCGAATCCCTGACTCTGCTTTCTTACAATTCTGTAGATCGTGTTTTGTTTCTACTCTTTTCTTTCTTTCTTTCTCTCTTTCTTTCTTTCTTTCTTTCTTTCTTTCTTTCTTTCTTTCTTTCTTTCTTTCTTTCTTTCTTTCTTTCTTTCTTTTCTCCTCCTCCTCCTCCTTCTTCTTTTGAATACCACATTTCAGCACTGAATTGCTTTGTTTTGTGAATACATTTTATACCCTCCACTTGACTTGGAGCTGTTTAAAGTTAAGAACTATGCCTTGTATTTCTTTGGTATTCACACTTCTCATCCCCCCACATTATGACCACAGAAAATATAGCCGTGTAAAGCTGATACTGATACTGTACCCAAATTTCATTTGAACCAATTCCTTTTATTGTACCCAAATTTCATTTGAACCAATTCCTTTTATTGTCCCCAAATTTATCACTGAGCATTTAATTTTGTTAACACTGATTAATTGAAGACTTACACCTCTATTGACTTTTTAGAAAAAAACAAAGGGCTGTGATTGTCTGTGCTCCTGAGATGTGTGTTTGGGCCGTGATTGTCCGTGCTCCTGAGACAGGGGGCCGTGATTGTCTGTGCCCCTGAGATGGGTGTTTTCACAGTGCTCGGTGCACAGTCTTCACAGCTCTGTGGATTGGATTAATATGTTCATTTTCAGGATGTACCTGGGAACAAAATGATGGAGGATTGTGCCCCCAAAGCAAAAATCCAGTCGGTCACAGCCCTAGGATTCCAGCCCCCGCTGTAGCTGGAATGCTTACTCTCTGCCTGCTCTCTCACTCACATGGCTCCTTGCAAAAAATAAAAGTTATCAGAGTAAATTTAGGCCATGGTTTATGTCCCAGCTTCATTTTAATCAATAATTTCATATTTAGGCCAAAAGCAATTTCTAACAAAAGAATTACAGGATCTCCTCTCTGACCACTCTTTGGGGACACAGATATGCAAGCCTTCTCTACTGCTGAGTCTCAGCTACCCTTTTCCTTTGTTTGGGGGCTTTCACTAAATTTACCAGACTGATCTTGAACTTGCTGTCCTCCTGCTACAGACCTGGACCACTAAGCCCTGCTCACTTTGGATATATTAACAGTAAATGAAAAGCAAGGCAGACAATCACGTTTAGTAGCGACCTTCTTGTCTTTAGTGATCTTTGACTGTGACCCTGGGGTAAGTGTGTGCCTTTACCCTAGCAGCTCTGCAGGCTAGGGTGGGGGACCCAAGTTAGAAGCCAGCATGCTGAGTTCCAAGCCAGTCTGGCTTACAGGGGAAAGCTGTCTCAAAAACAAAAACAACAACAACAACCAAGAGAAAACAACCAAACTGAAAATAGTTGATTGCGTATGTTTTTTTTTCAAGAGCTTTCTTGTTTATTAAACTATTAGCAAAACTTTTTTTAAATTATATATATATATATATATATATATATATATATTATTTTACAATACCATTCAGTTCTACATATCAGCCATGGGTTCCCCTATTCTCCCCCCTTCCACTCCCTCCCCTTACCCCCAGCCCACCCTCCATTCCCACCTCCTCCAGGACAAGTCCTCCCCCGAGGACTGTGATCAACTTGGTAGACTCAGTCCAGGGAGGTCCAGTCCCTTCCTCCCAGACTGAGCCAAGTGTCCCTGCATAAGCTCCAGGTTTCAAACAGCCAACTCATGCAATGAGCACAGGACTTGGTCCCACTGCCTAGTTGCCTCCCAAACTGATCAAGCCAATCAACTGTCTCACCTATTCAGAGGGCCTGATCAAGCTGGGGGCCCCTCAGCCTTTGGTTCATAGTTCATGTGTTTCCATTCATTTGGCTATTTTTTTTTAATAATTGAGTAAAACTGAAATTGATTGTGTATGTTTTGATATCAGTTCAAATGAATGCTTCCTCTCCACGTTCTGGAGGACCAATTCCTTGCCATTAGTAATAGCTGTAAGAGCAGATCTCTTTCAGATCATCCAGTTGCCTGAAGTGTAAGTCATAACCTCACCAGCTGAAGACTGTGTAACTCAGGCAGGTGGCTTGATGTCTCTGTTCATCCTGGAAAGAGCTTTGGAGAGGGCACATGATGGTTTGCTGGAGGGAACATGGTGTGCTCAGTGATTCTGAGTTTATTGTAGTGATCTTGGGCAGGGGGCAGGTTTAAACTGCCTTTAACCTCAGGGACCAGTGCTACAGAAGCTCTGCTGGGACTGGCTAGTGGGCAATCAGCAAGAGCCTTCGAGGGGATCAGCTAGGGGGTTCACCAGGCTGCACTGGCTGCATGACCTCGGGCTATTACAGGGGCCTAGCTAAGCCTTGTTTACTTCCATGCAGATAATAAACTCCACTCTCAAGTTTTTATGGTGGCTAAATTAGATAGCACCTGTAAAGTGCTGCATTATTTCCATCCAAGCTTCATTTCCTGGTTCCAGAGGTCAAGCCAGGAATGAGTTCTTTTCCGTTGGCATAATGAAGGCAAACACAGAGAACACAGCCCGGCAGATGGCACAGGAAAGCAGGCTTGGCTGTTCACTGCTTCCCTGTGAGCCGGCGGTGGGGGAGAGCCGTTACCCAGAGACCCAGTGGGCTTGAGCCCTCCAAACTTCAGGTGGGATGGGCAACTGCGGATAGGGTGAGTGGGCACTGTGAAGGGCTGTGGAGGGCTGTGACTTAGAATGTCTGTCCTGTGACATGAAGCAGCCTTCTTCATTGGAAGAAACTGGAAGAGGAGCTATCAGTTACCTGGAGGGGCATTTGGTCAACAGATGGTGTCTATGAAAGGGACCCCCCACACCTTCCAAATTACTATCTTTCTAAAAAATATTTTTTTTTTAGATTTTACTTATTATTATTTTGTATGTATTAATGTTTGTCAAATCTGTGTACCACCTGTGTGTAGTGCCCATGAAGTTCATAGGAGGGCATCAGAACCCTTTGGATTGGAGTTATAGACAGTTGTGAGCTGCCAGGAGGATGCTGGGAATTGAACCTGGGTCCTCCAGAAAAGCAGGGTCTTGTTAGGGTTTCTATTGCTGTGAAGAGGCATCATGACCACAGCAACCCTTATAAAGGAAAACATTTAATTGTGGTGGCTCACTGGATAGTTCAGAGGTTCAGTCCATTATCATCATGGTAGGATATGGCAGCATGCAGGCAGGCATGATGCTGGAGAGGTAACTGAGAGTTCTACATCTTGCAGGCAACAGGAAGTGAACTGTCTCACTGGTCATGGTTTGAACATATATGAGACCTCAAAGCCCGCCTCCACAGTGACACACTTCCTCCAGCAAAGCCACGGCTCCCGCTCATGTCACTCCCTTTAGGGGCCATTTTCTTTCAGACCACCACAAGCAATGCCTGCTCTTAACCCCAGCCATCTCTCTAGCCCCACGAAACGCTGTGTTTATTTCAAAAAGAATGCTCATGCCTAAAACATCTACACTAAGTTGCAGATAAGACTCTTTCACAGAAGACCCGCAGGCCTCATGAATTTGGAAGTCTGGTGACTAAAGGAGAAATTTACACTCACAGCCTTGTTGGGACCTCCAGAGGCTTTTGTTTTCCCCACAAAGACTTGACTAGCAGAGGGTTCTGGGCACCCAGACCTGGACCCTGTAGAAAGAAGGATAAAAGGAGTGGAATCACACATAACAGTGTCGGTTCATTTTTATTGTCAACACAGGGTTTCTAGCTCAGGTTGGCCCGTGGGCATGTAGGGGATTGTCCCAATTACATTAATTGATGAGGGAAGGCCCAGCCTAAAAGTGGGAGGGGGGATCCCTTTCTGCGTGGATCAGACTAGTCTCTGCTTCCTGGGTGCCCCATGGTGTGAGCCACCCACTCCAGCTAAACTGTTTGCAGCTCTTATTGTACTATACTTTTTTTTCCTTTCCGTTTTGGTCACTATATCAAGTGACGTTAAGTAGTTCAAGTTTCTACTACTAAACAGCATGTTGGTAAAACACATTGACTTTTTTTGCATGCTTTTGTTTAAGAACAAATCTTGCCATACACACACACACACAATTATAAAATATATATTATCAAATAAAATATATATTATAAAGCAGCCTTGACAAAGAAGTGACATCTTTCCTATGGTATGTAAGCTTTACCTTACGTGTTGTCATGTTCTTCTTATTGCATGAACGAGCATCACTGTTTGAAAGCCTTCTGCTGTGTATAAACCATTGGTTCTCTGTGATTGTTTCACTATGTCAAAAAAACCCACAGTGTAATGAATTCAGCTTGCTATCTTTTTTCCAGTTCTGGAATTGGGCAGTACCGTTTTCTCTAAAACAGAATGAGTGTGCTGGTGATCTGAGCAGAAGAGGTGAGCCTCATAGGCACCAAAGTGCAGACCGAAGCAGAAGCTGGGAACAAAAAGGGGTTGGCCTTTTCAGACTCCCTTTCCTTGTGAAGGTTTAGGCATGGATGACTTGCTTACCATGCTGGCCACAAATGGCTGTTTGGGGATTTGGTCTCTTTTTCTCCTCATTTCTCAGAAGCCTGATAACGAAACTTGGTTTCCACCTGGTGGCCTGGAATCTCACATGGAGGACTCTGGTTTGGTCTGGTCTGTTGGACCTTGTGCAAGAGTTCAGTCTAAACCAGGGACCTACATATATTATGTTTTAAGATGAAATCTCACTGTGTTGCCCAGGCTGGCCTAGAATCTCTGGGAGCAAGCGATCCTCCTGCCTCAGGCTCCTGAGGAGCTGGAATTGTAGGTACATGCCACCATGCATGGTTGACTTCCTGTAAATGTCATTTAACGCCCTTGTACACAGTATTGCAATAAATATTCATATTTATCCATCTATCCTTGTGACTCTGAGATACACTCCTCTCTAGGGTAAATTTTCGTCAAGTAGACTATCTCAGTTCTTTTTGCCAATTACCTCTAAATTATTCTAGTTTACAATCTTACCAACATATGTAAGTGCCAGTTTCAGGAGTTAGCAAAGGTTTAGGGGCTGGGGCCGGG